TAGTAGATTCAAAAGGTCACCGTTGGTCCGCAGGGCCCGTCTTTAAGGAGAGAAGTTTATTTCACCACACGTAAATTAAAAATCTCTACCTCCTGCAATTTTCCCCTTTTATCCTCCTCCTACCATCTTACACCGTCTTGCGCGACTCAGCAACGCACCTCGCTCTTGATTCGTAAGATCGCTTCACCCTCTCCTCTGTACCGTCTGTTAATCGCGATCACCGTCAACTGCGCTTTTTCGAGCACGCGACTCCTCATTGGACCTGCACACTTTCCGGCGCACTTCCCCAGCTCACCCCCCTCCCCTAACAGAGGCTGCCTGCAGTCATGAAGGCACACCTCAGCCTTGCATGAGCGTAAGCGATTTGCCTGCCTCAATCCATCACCTCCTGTGGACAAACCTTGCCGTTCCCCTGGGATAAGCAAGATGGAGACGCCAATAACCAAACTCCCCCGTCCTCTACCGCGCATTTAAGCCTTCTCCAACACCACCCTCCGAAACGATTCGAAACGTTACGAAAACCCTGGGAGCCCCGACCCGAAGCGAACCAGTGAATACTCGCTCAAGGTCATACAACATGGCTCCTACGGCCACAACTTCGTCACCGAGCATGACAAACGGTAAAAGATGCTGGCCATCTCCGACACCGTCTGCCCAATCCACATCCAAGCAATACATCAATACATCTGTCCCGTTGACCGTGACTCCTGCCACGGCAGCTACACCTAATGGAACCTCATCAACAGCAAGTCCTGCGACACTCTCATTACAGTCGTCGCCCGAAGGCCCACGGGGACGCAACATCCCTTCCGAGTTCTCTCCTACACCTCTGCAGTTGCCCGACTCCACCATGCCAAAATTCCACAGCGCCATGAGTGAAGCTATCGCTGCAAGCAAGTCGCCTGGACTGATACGGAGGATATCACGCGGCGCTGCAAATAGACTGCGTCGTCGCCCGTCATCCAAGCATCTGTCGAATCGTGATCGCAGCTCTGGCCCTGTCATGTTACGCCGCAGAAGTGACAGCAAGAATGGCGTTGAACCAGATGCCGATATGATTGACAATGACTTTGAAGCAGATATCGAGGATGTCCCAGAAGACCCAGAGCCTGTCCACGGACTGGGATTGAGCATGGGCAGTCTGAGTGTCGAGAACCGAACTACCACCCTGAAACCTGCGCTGACCATAGGCGGTATTGCTCCAATTGTCCCTTCGAAACTTCAGCAAGGCACCCATCTTACCAAGGTCACGAGAAAGAAGCGAAAGGACCTTAACTTCGTCCTTGACACAGACTCGGCCAAGGTCTTCTGGGACCCATCTAATGCGTCAAAGCAATTCTATATCGATGATATACAACAGATACGCCTGCAAAGTGACGCAAAGAACTACCGGGAGGAGTGCGGTGTCGGGCTAGAATGTGAGTCTCGCTGGTTCACCATTATCTATGCCGACCAGAACCGAGCAAAGGGACGGCCTGTGAAGACGATGCATCTCATTGCTCCCACTCAAGTCATCTTTGAGTTGTGGACATCCACCCTCGATGATCTCCAAAGGTATCGCCACGAACTCATGGACGGTGTCGCTGGATCTCGTCTGAACGAGAAGACATTGAGGGGTCATTGGAGATGCGAGATGGCGAAGCTTTTCAATGGAGCACCTCACCGCGATGAAGAGGAAAATCTAGACTTCACTGGAGTCGAAAACCTCTGCCACAGCTTCCATATTCACTGTTCCAAGAACATGCTTCGGGCACAGTTTGAAAAGGCCGACACCAACAAGACGGGGTTCCTCAATTTTGATGAGTTCAGGGACTTCATCCGTCGTTTGAAGACCCGCACTGATATCAAAGACATCTATAAGTCGATTGATCCAAACAACGAAGGCATACCTCTTGACGCTTTCCTCGCATTTCTACAGGAAACCCAAGGTATCAACATCCAGGCAAACCGCCCTCACTGGGCCAAAGTGTTCATCAAACATGTGCGACAGGCGAACAAGGGTCCGGTAAGTCAAGACACAACAGACGAGCCTTCGGTGCAGATGAACTTTGCAGCATTCTCCGAGTTTCTCTGTTCTCATGACAACAACATACAAGACTTCAAGGTTCCAGAAGTCAAGTTTGACAAACCGTTGAATGAATACTTCATATCTAGCTCGCATAATACCTACCTCTTGGGCCGGCAAGTCGCGGGTAGCTCGAGTACCGAAGCCTACATCAGAGCACTGCAGCGCGCCTGTCGCTGTGTGGAGATAGATTGCTGGGATGGACAAGACGGCCGCCCTATTGTCATGCATGGACATACCATGACGAGTAGCGTTCTCTTTGCTGATTGCATCTCAGTCATCGGAAAGTATGCCTTCGAGTCATCGCCATATCCTCTCATATTGTCCCTCGAGGTACACTGCAATCCTGAGCAACAACAGGCTATGGTCGACATCATGACTAGGGAGTTTGGGGAGCAAATTGTTCGGGAGCCACTGATCTCGCCCTCGTACGAATTACCTTCTCCTGAAGACCTCCGGAATAGGATATTGGTCAAAGTCAAGGCTGGGGAGGATTCCAATCTCAGCCTAAATCTACCTGCTGGCCGTCGCGACATCCCGGGCCGCCGCGATCGAAGTTTTAGCTCTCCCTGGTCTCGTCCTCAGATCCTCGATAACTCTATCATACCAAGTACGCCCAACTTGTCCAGTACTCCATCCGTGAGTCCTCCGGGAGATGGCTCCATGTGGGGCCCTCGAGGCTCGATGACAACGACGAGTATCAGTAGCACCAGTGAGGAGAGTGACAATGGACGTAATGATACTTCTCGTCTCAAGAGAGGAGGCTCTAGCCGGCGGCACAAAAGCAAAATCATTAAATCTTTGGGCAACCTTGGTGTCTACACCCGAGGCTTCAAGTTTCAAAGCTTTACTCTGCCCGAAAGCAAGGGGTACAATCATGTATTTTCGCTTGCGGAACGTCGGTATGAACGTCTCTGCAAAGACCCTGACACGAAAGCACAGCTTGAAAAGCACAACATGCGCTACCTCATGCGCGTATACCCGTCAGGTTACCGAATACAATCGACGAACCCGGATCCGTTAGTATTTTGGAGGCGTGGAGTTCAGATGATGGCTCTGAATTGGCAGACCTACGATCTTCCCATGCAGATGAACGAAGCGATGTTTGCCAGTGGGTCTGATAAGCTTGGTTATGTCCTAAAGCCAAGAGAACTGAGGCAACCACTGTCGATACAAGAAGAGATCTCGGAACCCTCCATCCACGGCCTGGGTAAGATTCAAAAGAAATTGATTCGCTTCTCTGTCGACATAATTTCTGCCCAACAGCTACCTCGGCCTCGAGGAGTAGCCCTAGATGGCGCACTTGATCCCTACGTTGAGATCGAGATGTTCAGCGCCGAAGACAAAGGCAAGGGCGTCGCTTCGGGTGAAGGCGGGTCTGATGCTTCCGCGCGCAACGGTATGTCTGGCATAGGATCACCACATCGTAGACGCACACATGTGGTGCAAGCCAACGGTTTCAATCCTGTCTTCAACGACAGCTTCAAGCTGTCGCTGGAAACCAAGTACCCTAGCCTGGTATTTGTGAGATGGACTGTGTGGAACTCCCCAGACGGAAGAAGCTTCAATACAAACCCCAATGCGGATCCACTGGCTACATTTACAGCCAAATTGAGCAGTCTCGAGCAAGGATACCGTCACCTACGCTTGTACGATCATAACGGAGACCAGTTCAATTGCGCCGCTCTGTTCTGCAAGATCAAAAAGGAAGAGCCCGTGACGATCGAGAGGGAAGATCCCGTCCCCGAGAAGGGCGGAAGATTCAAAAACAAGTTTCAGAAGGCAGTGTTCGCAAGGACAAAATCCGTGGAGAAGAAGAACGGAAGACAGACAGAAAGAACAAGCACGAGCACAAGCACGAGCACAACTACGAGCATGAGCAAAGATACGAGCGGCGAGAAGTCGAGCCTTGACGGAGGCTGCTATTAGCCTAACGGCGGCCTCCATCCATTACATTTGAAATTGATATGGAGTCCTTTGGAGTTTTAGACTTGCTCTTCTTCACGGAATATACCCAAAGTCATTGCAGGGCGCAGCATATTATGGGACTAATCCATCACTATTGGACATTTGTTTCAATACCATTAGAAGAGCAGGAAAGCCTTGAAGGTCACTCGTTGCTTCCATTTCACGTCCAGCATGCAACAGATGTTTTTATTCGACATTCGCTACCAGCAGGATATGGTTTCTCCCACTTCTTCGGTTGTATTGTGATTGGCCTGTGTACTCAAATAGACTTACCCGATCAGCTGGCGCTGAATCCTTTGTTGGAATCGGATTATGATAACGACTTGCATTAGAAGAACGATGATGGCGAGGCCTGCGTTGTTTTTACGTGCGAGGGCGCCAGCGTAGTGTCGCTGTGTGGTAGATAGAATATCGATCACAATTAGATGACTTCTCTCTTGTCTTCCATTTGACGGTGAACCAGATTCGCCCCCCCCAAGACTCTTAGTGAGTCTCGACTCTCAAGGTCCCAGTTTTCTCGATTCATGACTCAAGTAGGCTCGTAAACGCTGCCCGCCAATGCGCTAGAGTATAGTAGTGACTGTTCCCTTCCTTTATTTCTCTGGGCTTGGATCCTTCCCGCCAGCCAGCTCAGCTTGAGCTTCAGCCTCCTAAATTCTCACAGCGCACGAGGCTACGTAAGGCACGAAGATTGGATCCCATCAGTCTGTGCCTCTATTGATGACATCCAAGCTTCCTCTACTGTCTCGGATACCGGCAAATGAGGTACCTATGTACCTTTGACCATTCCCCAAATCTGCCCACCTGCAGCCTCATCCGGCTAGACCGAGGGGCAGCTGAAGAAACAAAAAGAATTTGACAGGCGGGGAAGCTGCATGGCTTGGAGCCCAGAAAATGCAACGCGAAAGGATATAGGGCTGCCAATCCCTCAAGATGGGTTCGCTCGACCTTACGAACGAGCATCGATATGGCACCTCTATCCTTCACCTGGCTAGCCACCACCGCAGCGCTGCTGCTGCCAGCCCTTCGAGGCCATGCAGCCGGTACATCGAGCTACAATGGGCTGGCCCTTACGCCTGCAATGGGATGGGATAATTGGAATGCGTTTGGGTGTAAGGTTAGCGAGGAGCTGATCCTTACTACCGCTCAAAAGATTGTTGAGTTGGGGCTACGCGATCTTGGTAGGAATCATGCAGCATGCAACGGAGCAAAGAGAGGGATGCTGATATGTGTCTGCAGGCTACTACTACATCATCCTAGACGACTGTTGGTCCAGCGGCAGGACCTCAAACGGTACTCTCCAGGCAAACAGTACCAAATTCCCAGATGGAATTCCAGCGGTTGCGGAAAAGATTCATGGCATGGGGCTCGGGTGGGGCATGTATTCCTCTGCTGGGAAATACACTTGCGCGCAATACGGTACGGAGTCATGGTCAGATCTTCTACAACTGTGACAAAAACTGAGATTGAGCAGCCGCATCTTTGGGAGTGGAGAAACAAGATGCCCAAACATTCGCCGATTGGGGGGTCGATTATCTCAAGTACGACAACTGCTACAATGAGGGACAGGAAGGGACGGCCCTCGTCACATACAATCGGTACAAGGCAATGTCGGATGCGCTCAATGCTACAGGTAATATCCCCAGGGTTCGGTGTGGACTAGGGCTGACACCCGAAGGCCGACCCATTCTCTACTCGATGTGCAATTGGGGGCAGGACTCTCCATGGGACTGGGCCCAGACAGTAGCCAACAGTTGGAGGATGAGTGGTGATGTGTACGACTCATTTGATCGGCCTGATAGTCGATGCCCGTGCGATACGTATGACTGCAGCTTGCCTGGATTTCATTGCTCGGTTCGTACATTTCGGAAAGATTTCTTCCTTTGCAATGCCGAATTCGGAGTTGCAGGACATATTTCCGGAGCAGAAGGCTCTTTCTACTCCCAAGACCTGTCTTGCGAGCCTGGGTTTTGCCTTGGAAGGCAACGCTGACTCCGAGATGTGCGCAGGTCATGAATATTCTCAATAAGGCGGCTCCTATTCTGAACAAGGCTCAGCCAGGAGCTTGGAACGACTTGGATATGCTGGAAGTAGGCAATAGTGGCATGACGGATGATGAATACAAGACGCACTTCAGCATGTGGTATGTACATTGTCTGGCTTGATGCCAACCTCCGGCGTGTGAGCTGACCTAGATTCAGGGCCTTAGCCAAGTCTCCGCTGATCATGGGCACCGACGTGACCATGATGATAGCTGAGACTCTCTCTATATATTCAAATCCCGCCATTATCGCGATCAATCAGGACCCGCTTGGTGTGCCCGTTACGCGTGTTTGGCAATCACCCGCGCAACCCCAGAATGAAACATACTCCGTCGATGCCTACACCGCTGGGGAAACGTCATTCTGGACTGGCGAGTTGATGAATGGCGATTATGTTGTTGCATTCGTAAACGGAGGCCCAAAAGCCACCACGCTGACTGCCACCATGAACGACGTCTTCATCGATCTAGTCACTACTGGCTCGAACGCCCCCGTACCTCAACTCCAGCAGACATACGACGTATACGACCTTTGGGCCAACAGAATGAGCAACACCACCGCTCAAGCCATCATCAATGGGAATTTTACCATGGAAACAAATAGTACCAACACTACGAGCGAAGCTAGTGCCAATTCGACGTTACCAATGCAGACATACAATGCTACGCAGCTCAGCTACGCAGACGGGCTAAACGCGAACAACACGGCTTTGTTCGGGGTCAAAGTCAAGACCATGGCGCCGATGGGAACGCTGAGCACTACCGTACCCAGTCACGGGGTGGCGGTGTATCGTTTGAGATCTCAAGGTGGTGGGAGTGGGATGAGGAAGAGGGATGAGTTGTAAGATGATATACCTATTGTGGACCTTTGACCAAAAGCTTGCGAAAGCTGTGTATGCAAATGATCCAGCACTACCTCGGCCCCTGTCCCGACATTTATCGCTTTGGAATTTCCTTTGTTGTCCTATCTTCTTGGCCCATTGCACTCACCAAAATCAATGTAGTCTTCCTTCCAAGTTTAAAAGATCATGCATTTCTTTTGCCCAGCTGCTCGGGGCACAAGTCTTCGCATTCTGGTCCCCTTTGATGCAATTCTGTTCTCCCTGATGCCGCAATTACAGCCGTGTTTTTCAGAACAGCATGATAAGAATGGCCATGAGCTTGGAGACAGCGATATCGAAACAGCGACAGGAGCTGATTTTGCACCCTTTCCGTTTCGTCCTCTCACGCCGGAACCGGATTCAATCACCAAGAAACAGCAACATCTGTTTTCTTCCGGCCTGAAACCTAACATCGTTGTTGCAAGTTTTCTTAAAAGCCTGCGACGGAGAGTTTGTTTCCATTGGCGTGGAGGTCAACTCCTTTCTCAGACCCTTTCATCTTGTCTGCACGCGGAGTCCACGTGGCATCTATCCTTCCAAGCAAGACCCCTGACCGACCGCGTCCGTCACCCGCCATGGCCCATCCAGTTCAACAAAGCTTGCAGGCCCTTGCCCAAACAGGGGGAATCTCCAAGCGAAAATCCTCTCCCGGTCCGATCCACGCGAATACTACTACTACTACAGACTCCGACACCCTAACCGACGCATCCCCAGCCTCACTCCGGCCCGCCTCAACCCCTGCCGCCAATGGCAGCAGCAGCAGCTCACCATCCTAGGCAGGCCAGACAGCGCAGGCCATCTCCTCCCACTCCCGGACTAGCGCCCAAAGCACCCGCAGCACCCCATCCCGACCCCCCAACCCGCCGTACATACCTCGTCCGTCCCTCCTGCCACCACGACGCCACATCGATCGGGGCACGCGATCTTTCTCCGTCCGGCGCGTTGGACCGGGGCACGTGAATGCGGCAAGTGGGGACCGAACGACGCCGCCGGGCGGGCGCGTTGGGTTGGGCGCGTGTGGGGGTGACGGGTGGGGTCGCTGTGGAAAGGTGCGTGGATGGAGGAGAGGAGGAGGAGGAGGGGCGGGAGGTGTTGATTGCGAGGACGTTTGCGGTGAGGGAGGGGTTGGGAGATGGGGAGGAGGTTGTTGGTGGTTGAAGGGTTGGGGTTGGGTCGCTGGGGGATGGGTCGATGCGGATGGGAAAGGATGGTGCGTGGGTTTGGTGAGTTTTGGGGGTGTTCGACTCCCTCCTTTCCACTCCGTGCGTACCGGGGGTGGTTTCTTTTGAGAGCGATGGAGGATATGTTTCGAGGATATATTTGTATGGATCTTGATATGGAGGAGGAATGCTGACTCGGCAATGGGGTAGGCGACACCGGGTTGTGGGGAGAAGGCGTTGAATAGGACGTATCTCTAGAGACCGTGTGGCGGGGTGGGGATTTTGGGGCCATAGGGAGGCGGGGGTCATGTGTCTGGGTTGTAAAGGGCTCAGGGTAAGTCCTTGTGTGTTGGATAGGGGGCTGGGGGTGTGTTCGGGTTCTTTTCTTGGTCAATGTTACATGCAATTTGTGAGCTTTTGTCGTGTGATTCTATCATTTCGCTGTTCGCTATTCTTCTTCCCCTGCTACTTCGTCGTGGATGCAGGGCTCGGTCTCCAGAATCATGGAAGAGGATTCCATGGTAGGTAAAAGACATCCATTTCAGTATCATCATCCCATTCGCCCTTACCAGTCAAGTCGTCAAAGGTGCGTAGTCACAGACTCAAAATCCTTATACCCGACCCCTTTGACAAACGTAGCATCCCAAGGCCCCTGACCCTTACCTTGCGCAAGCTTGAAGCAGAACTCGCCGTGAGCGGGTCCATCGATCGCGCTCATGGCCGGCTGACCGTTCTCCGTGCGCTCGTCGACGTAGTAGAAGCTGAAGACCATACATATCAGCTGAGCTGACCGCAATGGTGAAGCGGGCGGGCGAGCAAGTCTCCTCTCAAAGCACCAAGAAATACATCGTGGGGCGAGGACGCGAATCGGACCGACTTACTGCCACCCTTTACCGCCATAAGCCTCCGCACAACACGCAATCGTATGTGCAGCAGCCTGTTTGCCAATGCCCATGGTGATGAGTCTCGGATAGACCATTTTGTTCAGCATATTTCCGATCTGGATGAAAGTCTTGGGGGCGCTAGACCCGAGCTCTTCGAAGCCTTTGACGGCTTCCTGAGCCGCGGCGAAAGCGCTGACGGTGTTGATGGCGAGGTCTGAGGTGAGCTTCTCCAGGGACGGGGAGAGCGGGTCGGATTCAGCTGCCATGGTTAGGCCGTAGGCTGTTGGGGATTCAATCGTTATCATCATCGCTGTCGACGCACTCCTGAGATGTACATCTGGGCTCTGAACGTTGCGCATACGCACCAATGTAAACGACGACGCTCGGTATACCCATTTCCGATTTGACAGTGTCAAAGACCGACTTCACGTCCTGTGGCTGGGTCAAATCAGCTTTGACGGAGAGGTAATCGGTGCCTTGGGCGGATTTTCCACTTCGGGATGCAATGGCTACTTTGTAGCCGGATGAAGAGAACCTCTGCGCGATACCATGGCCGATATTGGCACCGGCCCCTAGAAGAAGGATCACTGGTGGAGGCATGATGGAGATTTGTTTCAGACAAAGATTGAGGATGGGGAGGCTTCCGTGTAGATTCGACTGGTTGGCTTCTTGCCGAATGGGAGAATGGAGGCAACATATAAACAAGCCATCCTGAATAATGAAGATGTAAAAGAAACACTGGCTAGATCACGTGCTGACTCGTCGTTGACGGCCACCCCTGCCAAGCGAATTGACACTTTCAGTATAGACAAAATGCTTCCCACTCGAAAACCCCACAGGCCGAGTACATACCGCTGAGTTACCAAAATCTCCAATTCATCCTCTCAGTGCACAGTGACCTTTATATCCTTCGAATCGAATCTGGAGCAAGGGTTCAGACAGTCAAACGGAGTCTCCACATCCGTAACATCCGTCTCAAATAGCTAGAAGCGGAAAAGATCCGGTGCGAAAAGAGCTGCGAAGGTGAGATAGATCTCACAATGAGCGAGATTGAGACCGTTATACAGTCTAAAACCATTGCTGAAGGGACGAGGTGTCTACTCAAATGGACATTCGGAGGTTGCTGACGCCAGCGGTCAGGATTGAACGGTTTCGGGTCGGGGAAGATGAACATATTGGAATGCATCATAGCCGAGGATATGCCCACTGCTGTTCCTGGAGTAATGATCCATTGCTAACACTGCTGTGCGACATCTGAAGTAGAAGTCTCAAATCCCTTATAGCCCAATAACATTTTTCCGTTCTCCTGGATGATCCCGCCAACAATTCGCCAAGAAGCATTATTTTGTTAGACCGTGATACGTCTCGGTGCTCCTGGCCAGATTGGGAACAATCATTCTGGATCATTGATATAAGGCTCGTAGGGACTAGTGCGTACTAGTGGGCCTGGAGACTGGTCTTAGGTTCATATACGTACCTTTGACGACATCACAAAGAAGTGGCATACCATAGAGCTCGTGCATCTTCTTGATCTCCCAAGTGTACCGTCCGCGCTTGATCACTCCACAATAGAACGCGTAACAGAGCGTCATAGCAGTGAATCTGGCCCCAGGAAATTTGCAATTGGACGCAAAAAATAGACAATACACAGCTATGGTAATGCAGTATACCACGAAACCACATAGCCTAGTCAGGACACTACGAATTGAGAAGACATCCATCTCATGAATGACAATGTAGTGCAAACGTAGAATGCGACGAATATTAACAGAGAAGATCCCTACCTTTAGGTACGATATTTGAGGATTGAGGGTACAGCACCTTTCTTGCATATTGTCCACGATGGATTCATTTCCCTACCTTAACGTATATCGCAACAGGAAACCTGTCATCCCGATTGAAAATCCTGTCGAACAAGGGGTAATTAGTAGGAAATAATTTTGTCTCTCCGCGAACGCGCTTGCAGATAATTTCATAGAGTAGCCAGACGCCAAGGTTCTGATGGAGGGACGCCGGTGGGGTACTCCAGCAGCCACTGAACCTCGTTGATCAATGGCAAAGAATATCACGCAGTTGAAGCCGACTTTACGTGCCGCACTGCAGCAAGGAGGCGAACAGAGCTCGATGCGAGGGCTGATAGTAGATGAGAGATTCTTCGTCGCTCAGAACTCGATGAGATATTGAGGAAGGGCCTTATATTCGGCAGTAGGCCTTATATTCGGCAGTAGGTGAAAGAGAGAGAGAGACTAATGGAACGAGGCTGGAACGGTGGTGATGGAGGAGCAAATATTGGAACCGTCTCAAGCCCTGATACTGTGACCAGATAAGAAACCCTTGAGTCTGAGAAGATGTATTTATGCTAATGAAGGTAAGACCACGAAGCCTCATGGTGCATCAGGATTTGTGGTGTGCTTTGTCATGGTTGGCGGTCAACCCATTCCTTGTCAAATCTCCGCCGCCTACTCTATCCGCTTCCCGCTCTCGTCATTTCACTGAAGAAGCCGACTATCGACGAGAAGCTTCCGAATAACGATGAGATGCCTGCCTTGACCGGCTCAATGCGAGATCTACCCTCTCACGCCTCTCCGGTCTACTCCCCTAGACCTTCGGCTGGTAAAGATGTCTCACAGTTCGATCTCGACAATGGAAGATCGGAATCTCCACCCCCTCCAACCTTCGTCAGTCCAGCATTCACTCCTCCATCTACTCCAGGCGCAGAGACGTCGACAAGGCACCAAGAACCTCGCTCAATTCCGGTTGATACCGCATCCCGAAGACCGCCAAAGCTTCTCGACACTCTTCCAGACGTCAATTGCGTTGTTCGCGCAAGGATACCTACGGTGACTGGCGCAGAGATGTTTTTGCATCTATACCAAAATAACGTGGATGATAAAGAGCATTTGGCTATTGTATTTGGCAATGACATACGGTCAAGATCGTTAGACGCGCCACGGTCTGGCGAAACAGAAATGGATCGCATGATACGAGGCGCATACACGGGCAGGCTTCACCCCGGAAGAACATCGAGTCGATTTGATCCAGAGCCACACCCGTCTACCTCTATGCTGATAGCTCAAACCACTCATTCATCACCCCTGGTCAGGATACACTCAGAATGCTATACTGGCGAGACGGCATGGTCTGCCCGGTGCGATTGTGGAGAACAACTCGACGAGGCAGCCAGGCTTATGTCTTTACCTTCGTCGCCTGGTGGCGTCATTGTATATTTACGTCAAGAAGGTCGAGGAATTGGTCTAATGGAGAAGCTCAAAGCCTACAACGTACAGGATCTTGGCTGGGATACTGTCGAGGCCAATCTCATGTTACGGCATCCAGCAGACGCGAGAAGCTACGGACTCGCCACAGCGATGCTGCTAGATCTCGGATTTGGAGGAGATGCAGGCATCAAGCTACTCACGAACAATCCGGATAAAGTACGGGCAGTGGAAGGCCCTAATCGCGAGGTCATCGTTAAAGAGAGAGTGGCCATGGTCCCTCTGGCTTGGAAGACAGGCGGAAAGAAGGGTATACATAGCGAGGAGATCGAAGGCTATCTACGAACAAAGATAGGTAAGATGGGACACATGCTTGGATGAGATGTGACTTGGATTGCATGATGCAGAGCGAGGCGTTATTGGAAAAGAATCTGTTCCACATACTTGTACATTATTGAAGCAACGTGCTTAGTCTTGCTAGAAGTCTAGCCATAGAGTGTGTAAGAGTGAGCGGAATCAATAGAACGGAATCCGAGGCATTTGGTCTCGACGATAGTGGTGACGGGAAAAGTCTCCGATTGAGTCGCAAAACGCTAGCGCTTTAGAGAAGGGCCGACCTGACTCAATGCGTGCAGCAAACCGACGGGAAACGGAGTCAGTGACAAACGTCAGCGCACCACTCTCCGTCGCGTAAGACCGTAAGACCCTTTAAGTAGGTCTCGAACCCAAATTGAATGGATACCGAGCCTGGCACTCGGCAGTACTCTGGGCAACATTCCAACAGCCCCGCCGTCGACTCTACTGCAAACCGGCAAGCTTCCAGCAAAAAGAGACGGACATCAACCTCGGGGCGAGGTGTCGCCAACCTCACCCCCGAGCAATTGAATAAGAAGCGGGCAAATGATAGAGAGGCCCAGAGGGCTATACGCGAGAGAACCAAGGGTCAGATTGAGAGCTTGGAGAGGAAAATCCAAGAGTTGACCTCACAGCAACCATATCGGGAGCTTCAACATGCTATATGGCAGAAGGAGCGGGTCGAAGCGGAGAATGAAAAGATCAAGACGACATTGAACTCTGTTCTCGGCATCATACAGTCGATAGTCGGTGGAAATGGGATCGTTGGTAGAGGCTCCCGTACAGGACGTCCGAGAAGGCTGCAGCTGACGGGTCATCCACCCAGCATCTTTTCCAACTCCAAGCCATGAGCCGGGCGGCCTTACACCTACTCCGACATCTGACATCAATGCTGGGCACCCAATCAGCCCACATACTTCCGTTTACAATAACGTCCCTAATGGTGCATCGACTTCTTCTACATATACCGATTCCCCCCGTCTGGCTCAGACGCATACACCCCCTTTTATCCCCCAGGCTACCTACACTTCACAGCCAAATCCGTTCGCACCAGTCAATGTACTTGAACGGCGTCAGCCTAGTCTCTCCCATGGATTGCAGTCTGGCTCCCCAGATGAGAAACTCGACGTTGGATCTGTGCTACAAAGTATGCAGGAAAACCGCGATAGGAGACAGCAATACGAAAGTGACGGGACACCGTCGCTGTCGCCATCCTCGGCCCTTCCTATGAACCCTCTGAGTCCGAATCATAATGCTCGTGATAGCTATGGGAACCAGATGTTTGCATGCTCAGTGCCTGTCCGAAATATACGTACCTGCCCTTTGGATGGCCTGTTATTAGACTTTCTCGGTGAACGACGACAAAGAGCCATCGAAGGTATGCCGAATAGAGAGCTCGTAGGACCAGCATATCCGAGCGTGGTCTCCCTACTCAAGCCTCAAAGCAGCTTGACCTCGCACCCACTGTCGAAAATGTTCACAGACATGCTGAGCACCTTCCCTGATTTATCCACCCTTCCAGAGCAGGTCGCAGTACTGTACGCTTGTACCAGCTCCCAGAATGTCTGAAGACTGCTTTGAAGACGAGTACACTGATTCTTGCAGGTATATAATGTTCCTCATCATGCGATGGCAAATCTCCCCCACGCCAGAGAACTACGATCGACTGCCCGAATGGGTCACCCCCCGGCCTTCTCAACTTTTCAGTGTGCACCCTACTTGGGTAGACTATCTGCCTTGGCCCCGCATGCGAGATAAATTGGTGCAGACGTATCCAAGCATTCACTTCGACGACTTCTTCATTCCATATACGACAACCTTGTCGCTGAACTGGACTTACGAGGCACCCGATACTCTGCTTTCCAAGGAAGGAACGGAAGAGCTTTTCATCAATCCGGTGTTTGAAAGGCATATACGAGATCTGAAGAACTGGACTTTGGGACCGGCCTTTGCTAAGGCTCATCCTAGCTTGGCCGAGACCTGTACGATTAAGCCGGATAGTAGAAGGAGGAATTCGTGAGCGAGCGTCTCCGGTGGTCCTTATGCTTCCTTGTTGGGTGGATGTTTCTAGCGTCAGCATTCGAAAAGGTACCTTTCTTCCCAAGGCCTTCATAGTACATACATATACGTCTATCTATCCGTGTACAGAGTACAAAGAATAAAGACGTACATCTTTTCATGTACACCTTTGATCCGACTAATTGGAGCTGAGGGTTTCTGATGCCAAGCGAGCCAAATAGGTTCCTTCAGTGCCCCGTATGTCAAGGAACATTTTTCCCCCGAAGCGGTACTTCTTTTCTTGTTCGCTCAACATCTCGAAGTGCATCATGCAATGCTTACACTACAGTAAGAGTTCCACGCCCTGCATGACAAAGCCATTTTCCTATCTGTCAACTTTTGAAAATGGTTGGATCGACTGCACACCACCAACAGGAAGGAGCGGGGTCGCACAGCAGCCTCGGTGTCTCATTTGCCGACTTCAATCCTCAGGCCGATTATCGAGCATGAAGTGATACATCCCCATGGTTTTGTTCACATGTACAACTCTTGTTTTGTGTATAGAGCACGCGTAGATCGCTCTTCGTTTCTTTATATGACTTGAACATTGCTCTTCTACTTCTACACAATTTTTTTTGTGTCTGACGCATCATGGCCGTCATAAAACCCGAACTCTCTCTGCTCGAAAAAGCAACATTGATCCTCAGCATTCTTCGCGTTCGTTCGTCATCTCATACATCCTCAGTTGTGGCATGGGTACTAATCAAGTTCAGTGGGCGTTGGCCTGATTACCCTCTTCACGGCTCTGTTCAGGGGAAGATCTGGATCCGCGAAGTACGGCAGTCATGTCAAGCTTACTCTGCTGAGGACTTGGTTGAACACCGCGACGGTTCGGCATCAACAGTGAGACGTCCCCCATATCGCTCCAAGGAGGACAATTGACTGAGTAACAATGGCAAAGGTATCTACTCCCGGACCTCGATGTAGCTTATCCAGCGTTCGCCAAAGAGCGCGGCTTCCCCCCCAAGGATGTCACGCTTCCGGACGGCACCAAAGCGTACTGGTTGGGTAGTCCTTCCGCGGAGAAGGTGATACTCTGGTTCCATGGTCCGATCTCCCCCCTTCCCCATCTTCCAAGCCCCCTGCTAACACACCCTCTCTCTTCAGGCGGCGGCTTCAACCTCCCCGCCGAACCCGGCCACCTCACCTTCGTCAACTCCCTCACCTCCCCCTCCGTCTCCGCCCTCATGCTCTCCTACACCCTCGCTCCACACGCCATCTACCCACGCCAACTCCAACAGGCCGTAGAGCTCCTCCGCCACGTCATCACCTCCTTCCATCACCAACCCGAAAGCATCATCATCGGCGGCGACTCCGCCGGCGGCAACATAGCCGTGGGCATACTATCTCACCTCCTGCACCCGCATCCTGAAATCGAGCCGTTGAGATTCGAAGACGGGGCAAAGCTACGCGCAGCCATCCTGCTCGCGCCCTGGGCGAGTTTCCGCCACGACTGGCCGAGCAGCAAAAACAACACGAGCAAAGACCTCGTGACAGACAAGGTAGGCGATAAATGGAGCATGGCGTTCCTGGGCGGGCAGAAGAGGGAGGGGTATAACGAGCCATTGGCTGCGGAGGAGGGGTGGTGGCTAGGGTTGGAGGGAGTGGTGAAGGAGTGTCTCGTTTTGGGGGGTGCGGATGAGCTTTTGGCGGACTCGATTCGGGAGTTGGGGAGACGGTTCGCGGCCGTCCATGAGGGGGTGATGGTGGTGATTGCGGAGGGGGAGTGGCATGATAAGCCCGTGACGTCGAGCCTCGGGATGGGAGGGGAGCAGGATGCGGCCATCAGGAGCTTCATTAAATCACGGACTTGAAGGGGGCCCGATGTCGATGTGTATTTTATATATGTGGGTATTCGCTTGATACATACACGACTACTGGATGGGGCGCTGATTTTTACGGAAATAGTTAGACAAATGACATTGAACGGCGTTGTCAATACATGTTTGCATTATCATACAGTTCTAAACATGGAAGCACCGCGAACGCCAGGAACATTGACTCTATCGTAAGCCGGTATCATACCCCTTTCCATTCATGCTATATGACCCAACCACAGCCTCGGGTGGAGAAAAGACAGGGCCTAGCGAAAGATGGAAGGCTACTGCTCATACGCATGGAAAGACTAAGCCATCACAGCCGTGGCCGGAGCCCCAGTCCTAACACCGTTCCTCCCATGCTGACTCCTCTGCGAGCCTGGCTTCGCAAGCGTGTACCTGACCGAGTCGTTAGCAACCTTTCCTTCTCTCGATAGTGACATGTGGAAAGGAGAACATACTTAGCAAACGCCCTCGCCAACGCCTTCTTGCAGCTGACCTTCTGCCCGCCGACAAACGAATCCACCGTCACTGCGATGGCGCGGTCGACATCTTGCGAAGTGCAGTACTCAGACAGACGCATCTTGCAGAAAGCTTCGCTGATACGCATGATGGCTTCCAGATGGCGGACCTAAGGTCACATTTTTATCAGCACTCATGATTCCAAGGAAGAGGGCAGAGCGCACTCACAGTAATGGGATACGCTCCCGTCGCCAGACTCTCCCTCCTCATATCTGCAAACAGCCTCGCCACCTTATCCTGATCAATCTGATAAAGCTTCGGTCTGCACTTCTCCCTCGCGTACAGAATATACTTCCTCAGCAATTCCTGCGGTATCTCTCCTTCCTGCTTCGGCTCCCCGCCATTGATTCGTTGGTCACGCATCTCGGTGTCGTGTTCAGACTCCATGGCGTTCCGATTCGCGTCAATGGAGTTGGCGGAAGGGTGGGCGCGGCCATGAGAGTTCACGACGAAGGAGGCTAGGCGCTCGTCTTCGGCTGGATCGACGGTGTCGCGGACCACGACAAGGATGTCGAAACGAGAGAGAATGGGCTCGGTAAGTTCGACGTTCTGGGCGAAGGGAATTGTGCTGTTGTATCTGCCGCCGATAGGATTGGCTGCGGCAACAATGGCACAGCGTGCTTGTAAAGTGGTTACGATACCAGCTTTAGAGATGGAAATGGTTTGTTGTTCCATGGCTTCGTGGATGGAAGTGCGGTCTTGATCGTTCATTTTGTCGAATTCGTCGATCAAACAGGTACCGCGATCTGCGAGCACGAGGGCACCGCCTTCTAGGGTCCACTCCTGTGTCAACGGATCTCGACGTACGCTGGCTGTGAGACCGACAGCGCTAGCACCTTGACCTGTAGCAAAGACGGCTCGGTGAGCGGTCTTTTCGATGTATTTCAGTACTTGCGATTTGGCTGTTCCCGGGTCACCGAGGAGAAGGATGTTGATGTCACCGCGGATCTTGTGCTTGCCCTGGGCTTCCTTGCTGACGCCCCCGAAGAGGGAGAGAGCGACGGCCGTTTTGATGTCTGTGTGGCCGTAAATGCTAGGGGCGATAGAAGCGATAATCTTGTCTACGATTTGGGGATCTCGGGACAAGGTGCGGATCTCACGTTCGTCTTCTTCGGTAAGGCGGAAACCAGCGAGCTGATCGTGGGACTGCACGACGTGATTTGCCTCTAGGATGGTGGCGAAGACGGGGAAGCCGTTGCGATTATTGAGTTGAGCATCGTAATTGTTGCGGTAAATGCCTGTCACTTCGATTTCCTCTCCTGGCTTTGCTGAGTCAATCAAGTCCCAGAGGAGGATTACCTCTCGGTGTCGAGGAAGACGACCGGCTGGCACGGTACCGGGCGACTCTTGGAGTGTGAGCTTTTGGTAATTGCGGTAAATGGTCTTTTCAGAGTTCAGGGTGAACGGGCCCCGGGATTGGCAGTTCTGACAGTAGGAGATTCGGACTTCGACATTCGACTCTTGTTGGAAAGGACCCAATGTGACACCGCATTTCGTGCAGTCGAATCGTACGTACTTCAATTGTGGGAAAACACCTGTTCGTCGAGTGACAACTCCAGTAACTCGCACCAGGCAATTCAAATGCGTTTGACGAAGCTGACGAAGAGTGTAGTGAACTGGGAGGTCTGATATGCGGACATGAATTTCGGAATGGATGCGCTCGTAGTCCGGATAATGCAGCAGAGTCACGTCCATAGCGACCTGATCGAATATCTTGAGAACCTCAGCCGGAGCATTGGCGAGGAAATAGGCCAAGATGGCCTTTGATGCGGAAAGATGGTCATATGAGACTTCCAGAGACTCTGCGTTGACTTCTCCCAATGTCCGCACTCGAGTCCCGTAGACTGAGGTGCCATTATCATCAGTATACTCAGTGAGAAAGGATTTGAACTCTCTGAAGATGGATCGATATACTGCCGGCAGAGCAACCCAATCAGTCAAGCTTGAGGCCTTGACGTCTTGCAAAGTCTCCAAGGAAAGCTCTTCATCCATGATATCCTCTCCCATCTCTTCGTCTTCTTGCTCTTCATCATAGTGATGTCTTCTTCGCCTGGGCTGCCTTGTGAGATCCATCTCTCCATCTTCATCCTCGTCCTGCAAGAACGCAGCCGGCATACGGCGTCGACGTGCCAACTCTCTATCCCGCTTATTCAAGCGAGCTTCAAGCTGTCTTCGGGTGGCCACATCAAGATCTTCGTAATCGCCTTCATCATCAATGTCTGCCCCGGCATATGCATCATTCTCGCGAGCTTTGTAGTCTCGCTCAAAGTTGTCCGCGAATAGATCAATTCCGTCTTCATCTTCTGCCATCTCGTCTGCGTCGTCAATGTCGCCGATGAGATCACGGTCCGGATCTAACCCTTCGTCCTCTTCGTCGTCAAGAGGCATCAATGGTGGCGAAGATGGAGGCGCTGTAGCTTGTCAGTGACCAAGCCTTATGAGACGGTAGCCTTTCACCCACGACTTGAGGGCGGAGCCGCAGACGAAGATGGAATATCATCATCGGGCTCTCTCGATCGCTTGCGCCCATTGCGAGCGGCAGCACCCCTATTCGCGGCAGACATATTGGGTCGGAGTGGTGAGCTGAAGGATGTCAGTTCTTGTCTGAAGGCGCAGAGTAAGGCGCTCGGAATATGGCACAGTACCTCATTTGGAACAAATATCTTGAGATCTATTGTTTGCTGAAAGGGTGAGGGATGAGAGGTAAGGGGACAATATCTTGTACTCTGAACAGTGAAAGAGGAAGAAAGTTGGCAAATCGAGGGGTGTATGGTTCGAGTCGCGTCGCGCGACTTTAACGCGAGTCCGGAACTTGTCGGTCACCGTACTAGATTGATTCTTGGCGCCTCTCTATCCTTGCGAGGGCTCATTCATCTACTCACTACCTTACATAAACATCGTTCAGCTGAAGTATGGAAGACTCACAGGACATCGGCCTGCCATTGAATGGCCTTCCGGATGAAGCGCGCAAAGATAGCGTCTCTGAGGCCTCACAACATTCCCAAACGGCCTCCGATTTCATTGACAGCCAGCTTCAACTCGAAGCCGACGCGCGCGAAGCCTTGCCATACAAATTTGAGCACTGCACGCAGCCTTTAGGTCCTCTCCGCCAGAACTTGTTCTCCTGCTTGACTTGCAATCCAACCCCTGCCTCGCCTTCCGATCCTTTCACTCCAGCAGCGGTCTGCTATTCCTGCTCTATCGCATGTCACGGCGAGCATACATTGGTCGAGCTCTTCAATCGGCGCAACTTCACCTGCGACTGTGGCACTACGAGACTACCATCAACCTCACCTTGCACGCTTCGCATAGATCCGACGACAGGGATGAAAGGCCCAATCCATTCGCAGACCCCGGCTGAAGGAAATACCTACAATCAAAACTCACAGAATCGGTTCTGCGGATGTGGGGAACTTTACAATGCGGAAGAAGAAAAGGGGACTATGTACCAGTGTCTGGGTCTTACGAGCGAAAAGGACGGTGGTTGTGGAGAAGACTGGTGGCATCCAGAATGTGTGGTGGGCCTCGGGAGAAATTGGACCAAAGCTCAGGCACAGATCAAGCAAGAAAGGAATGCAGTCATTAATGGCGCCGATGATGCAGATGCAGACCACCCACTACCGCCAGGATTCCCTGATGAAAATAGCTTCGATACCTTCATTTGTCACAAATGCGTGGATGTCAATCCTTGGATCAAGCAGTATGCAGGAACCGCTGGTTTCTTACATCCGGTCTATCTGTCAGAAAGTGATGGCACCGCGAAGAGATCCCGCGAGCAAGATGAAGAAGCCCAAAGGTAAGGTCTCTTAAGAATGCTTGTCTATCTGAGTATTCTGATACTCCATAGACGCCTTGCTGAATACACCGCCGCCCAAGCTGAGGTTACTGAGGAGCTGAGAGAAGCGAAGCCGACGAGCAACGGGACCAATGGGAACGACATGCTCGAAGACGACGCGCCAAAGCAAGAGGCATTCCTTCAACCTGTTGCGAGTAGTGATGCCAACAGCAAGAAGCGCAAAGCCGACGATGCCACGCTTGACTCATCCGAGTCTTCCGACTCGAAGAAGAACAAAACCATTCCAAGATACCATGATTATCTTCCGGAGCTTCCCACAGGGTCTTTCTCAATGTTTTTGAAAGAGGACTTCCGAGAACGTTTCTGTCGGTGTCCAAGCTGCTATCCTAAGCTCAGCAAGTACCCCCAACTGCTTGAAGAAGAAGAGTCTTATGAGCCTCCAATATCTGAAAGCGGAGAAGAAGGTGGGCAGAGTGTGGGCACCGCAAGTCTACTTGATAGGGGCGAGGCGGCCCTGAGCAATGTGGATCGGGTCCGAGCCATTGGTATGTGCTCTTCTCCCATGACGTGCGAATGGTGTCATTTTGAATGAAATCACATGAACACCAGGCTAATGTAGTTGCGTTCCGTCTGACAGAGGGTGTCATGGTCTATAACCACCTTAAGGACAAGGTCAAGAGCTTTTTACAACCCTTCGCCGAAAGCGGGCAAGCTGTGGGCGCAGAAGACATCAAAGCATACTTCGAAAAGTTGAGAGGTGATGAGCAGGGAATTCGAGCCGCGGCGGTGTCTAGAGGCAATGGTGGCGGAGACGGAGGAGACAACAGAAGAGAGCAGAGTGGTAAGCGAATTGTACCCACAATAATTGTGGAAGCTTCTGCTGATCATCGTACATCTAGGCTATTAGATCTGGACTGGATGACTACATGTACCTGTAGGCAGATATCAGACCATGTCCGCCTTGGGTATGGGACATGATCACTCCGTCATCGGGGTTCATTTGTGTGGGCAGCAAGTCGACGGATAGGAGATGCAGCAGCTTTCTCGCATACCTTTCTAGCCTGATGCCTATCCCACGTGTACCCTCCATGTCAGAGATGGTTCTGCATGATTGTTGGCTTGTCAGACTTTGTACCCACTCACGCCAACCTTAGGATCTAGACTTCCGTAGTCTGTTCTTCTTCTTCGGGTGTATTCCCCTGAACCTTACCCGTAGCCGTAGCCGTGGCCGTAGGTCTGGGGGAAGAGAGTGTACGTAAAACTACGTCAGTAGCCTTGGTAGAGGAGTTTGACATTCAGACTGCAATTAATAATGAGCTTTGGGTTTGGACCAGAGCGCGTGTTGAAACAGACAGTACGAGTATACGCCGTCTGCGCCAATTGACCAACAAGTCAAGATGCCGCATCGTTTACCAAAGGAAAACGGCGTCAAAAAAATTACAATCATTGTTTACGACTTTGCGTTTCTTCCCTTCCTTCATGTTCGGTGCCTAAAGTAGGAAGTACTCCGGAGAAATTGCGACGCTTTGCGGAGAGCAGCTCCCTCAATCTGACGTTGCGATTGGCTGAAGCTCCACCCCCCAGATTCCATCCCAACCGAGTCCACCCCGCCCATTAGACTGTCATCCATATCCAGGTTTGTACCTTGCACCACCACATGACATCGTCCTATCAATCAATCAATCAATCTCATTGTCTGAAACACGTGCCCTGATGATGTTACTTAACAAGGAAGGTGGTCTGCACGATGACCAATATGGGCTACAGTTACAAAAAGCTGCAAGGTCCCGACGATGTTCAGCTGCAAGACCTACCTCTGCCTCCTGCCACAGAGACTGCCAGAGAAGAGCTTCCTTTACCCCAAAACTTCTTCCATCGGCACCCAAAGACAACTTCCTGGGCGATCAAGATGTTGATTGCTTTCCTTGTGCTGCTGTCGGCGCTCAGCTTGACGCGCGCAGCTGTCCTTGAGAAGAAGCAAGCTGCCTCGACGGCTAGCTCTAGCACTACTAGGGTGCCTCAAGTCTTTCAAACTACTCCCGAACTGTTCGCCGGTATGTTGACATCTCACAAATTCAACTGCTCACCAATTGACTGGTCAAAAGGTCCAACTGCGACAGGGCGTGCGCCCTTCCTGGCCCAGAGCAACCCCGCTCCCTTCGGAGTAGCCTCGTTCGTTGCAAACCACCCTCTTGAGACCGCGATACCCATCGTTGGCAACACTCAGAATGCGAGTATCTTCCAGCAAATGGGGAACGTGAGCCCATACTTCCCAAACCCCAGGTTCGTTGCGAGCAATTCTTATGGCAGAAGCCTGCTAAACGCAGCAGTGGGTTTGGTGTTAACGAAATGCCTCTTCCTGCTGGAGCCAATATCACCCAACTCCACATGCTGCATCGCCATGGGAGTCGCTATCCGACATCAAATAGTGGCGTTCAGAAATTCGGGGCAACACTGACAGCTTTGGTACGTACTTTCCGGCTATCAGTTCTTCCTATTCTGTACCAGTGCATAAGTTGCAAGGCATCTAACAATGAGACTGGCCACCCTTTATTCTTTTCTCACTACTCAGACTCTCGCATTTAAGAAGTAATGCTGACTCCAAAATCTCCGTAGGCCGCGAACAAAACTGCAAACTTCACTGGACAACTTGCTTTCCTGAATTCTTTCAGCTACGGCCTTGGAGTTGAGATCTTGGTCCCCATTGGACAACAAGAACTCTTCGACTCCGGTGTGCTCCACTACTATGATTACGGGCATCTATACAATACTTCCACCAAAATCATCGCTCGGACCACCACCCAAGACCGGTATGTACATTTTCGGAGCAAATGCTTCGTATCTGGACCACTCTACGAGTCGCGAGACATGTTCCCGGAGCAAAACGCTCTCAATACCTCTTCGGGCTATCTCGTTACTCGGTTGTTATCTTGATGAAGGAATGCTGACTCTTTGAAAGTATAGTGAAGAGTGCGGAGTATTTTATGGCAGGCTTCTTCGGTCTCAGTAAGTTTTTCTTGAGCGGTAGGAGTGTCGAATTTAGTCGGCCAATGCTGACTCCCGCAGGTTGGACGAACAACGCCACATTAGAGGTTATCATTGAAGGAAATTTCATCAATCCTGACAATGTCACCCTTGCGGGATACGACAATTGTAACAATAGCAACACTGCTGTGAATGAAGGAGGGGCCAATGCCACCGCCATTTGGACAGCAACTTATCTTAAGAATGCCACAGCACGTCTCAACGCTCTATCTGGCAAATTTTTCAATTGGACCACCGCCGATGCCTACGAGTGAGTCGCAGGGACCGCTTTCCGATGGCTGCATACTGACTTTGAACACAGTGCACAAACGCTCTGCCCGTACGAGACTGTAGCTTTTGGCTACTCTTCGTTTTGCGATTTATTCACCTACCAGGAATGGCTCGACTTTGAATACTCCATTGATCTATCCTTTGCCGGAGGCGACTATTTCCAATCACCAACCGGTCGCGCAGTTGGCATAGGATATGTCGAAGAGTTCCTGGCTAGAGTGAACAACCACACCTTGAACACAGCCACAGCTCAAGCCAACATCACTCTCGACAACAACATTGCCACATTCCCGCTAAACCAGACCCTTTACTTCGACTTTTCGCATGACACCAACCTCGCAGCTGTGCTGACCGCTTTCGGCTTCACCCAATTCGCACAATTCTTGCCGACCACCGGACCGCCAGCAAATCAGCAGCTCATCGTATCCCATCTTCAACCTTTTGGAGCACGCA